GGTGATGGGGGGATTGAGAGGAAGAGTATAGGGCAATACGTGGTGATGGGGGGATTGAGAGGAAGAGTATAGGGCGATACGTGGGGATGGGGGGATCGAGAGAAAGAGTATAGGGCGATACGTGGTGATGGGGGGATTGAGAGAAAGAGTATAGGGCGATACTTGGGGATGGGGGGGATTGAGAGGAAGAGTATAGGGCGATACGTAGTGATGGGGGGATTGAGAGAAAGAGTAAAGGGCGATACTTGGGGATGGGGGGATGGAGAGAAAGAGTATAGGGCGATACGTGGGGAGAAGTGATGGAGAGGAAGAGTATATGGCGATACGTGGTGATGGGGGGATTGAGAGGAAAAGTATAGGGCAATACGTGGTGATGGGGGGATTGAGAGAAAGAGAATAGGGCGATACGTGGGGAGGAGTGATGGAGAGGAAGAGTATAGGGCGATACGTGGTGATGGGGGGATTAAGAGGAAAAGTATAGGGCGATACGTGGTGATGGGGGGATTGAGAGAAAGAGTAAATGGTTATACTTGGGGAGGGGTGATGGAGAGGAAGAGTACAGGGCGATATGTGGGGAGGGGTGATGGAAAGGAAGAGTATAGTGCAATACTTGGGGAGGGGGGGATTGAGAGAAAGAGTATAGGGCAATACGTGGTGATGGGGGGATTGAGAGAAAGAGTATAGGGCGATGCGTGGGGAGGAGTGATGGAGAGGAAGAGTATAGGGCGATACGTGGTGATGGGGGGGATTGAGAGAAAGAGTATAGGGCGATACGTGGTGATGGGGATATTGAGAGGAAGAGTATAGGGCAATACATGGTGATGGGGGGATTGAGAGAAAGAGTAAAGGGTTATACTTGGGGAGGGGTGATGGAGAGGAAGAGTACAGGGCGATATGTGGGGAGGGGTGATGGAAAGGAAGAGTATAGTGCAATACTTGGGGATGGGGGGATTGAGAGAAAGAGTATAGGGCGATACGTGGGGAGGGGTGGGATGGAGAGGAAGAGAATAGGGCAATACTTAGGGATGGGGGATGGAGAGAAAGAGTATAGGGCGATACGTGGGGATGGGGGGATGGAGAGGAAAAGTATAAGACGATACGTGGGGATGGGGAGATTGAGGGAAAGAGTATAGGGCGACATGTGAGGGGGATGGAGGGGAAGTGTATAAGGCGATACGTGGGAGTGGGGGGGGGATTAGGGGATGGAGAGGAAGAGTATAGGGCGATACGTGGGGAGGGGTGGGATGGAGAGGAAGAGTATAGGGCAATACTTAGGGATGGGAGATGGAGGGAAAGAGTATAGGGCGATACGTGAGGGGGATGGAGGGGAAGTGTATAGGGATGGGAGATGGAGGGAAAGAGTATAGGGCGACATGTGAGGGGGATGGAGGGGAAGTGTATAGGGCGATACGTGGTGATGGGGGGATCGAGAGGAAGAGTATAGGGCGATACGTGGTGATGGGGATATTGACAGGAAGAGTATAGGGCAATACGTGGTGATGGGGGGATTGAGAGAAAGAGTATAGGGCAATACGTGGTGATGGGGGGATTGAGAGAAAGAGTATAGGGCAATACGTGGTGATGGGGGGATTGAGAGAAAGAGTATAGGGCAATACGTGGTGATGGGGGGATTGAGAGAAAGAGTATAGGGCGATGCCTGGGGATGTGGGGATGGAGAGGAAGAGTATAGGGCGATACGTGTGGAGGGGTGGGATGGAGAGGAAGAGTATAGGGCAATACTTAGGGATGGGAGATGGAGGGAAAGAGTATAGGGCGATACGTGAGGGGGATGGAGGGGAAGTTTATAGGTCAATACATGGGGATGGGGGGGATTGGGGGATGGAGAGGAAGAGTATAGGGCGATACGTGTGGAGGGGTGGGATGGAGAGGAAGAGTATAGGGCGATACGGGGGGATGGGGGGATTGAGAGGAAGAGTATAGGGCGATACTTGGGGATGGGGGGATGGAGAGGAAGAGTATATGGCGATACGTGGGGATGGGGGGATTGAGAGGAAGAGTATAGGGCGATACGTGGTGATGGGGGGATCGAGAG